CCTCTGTCTCCTGGCACGGTGGCACTGCAGCCAGTGGTGTTTTGACGTCCTTCTGTCTGTCGGCTGATGTTGAATGTGCGGCGTTGGAGATAGCGTCCGCATTTCGGGTCCTGGTATGGGGTACAGTCGCTGGTGGTGTTCTTGCTTGTCACACAAGAAAAACATTTTAAAAACTTGGGTGTGTAGTCACAGAAAGTGAGTACCTTTTCACACAGATTCCATGGGACGGAGCCCATGGTTGTGGTCCCGTTGTTGAACACACAGTGGCCAAGGGAGCCGGACCTTGCTCTGGCCAAGGTAATTAGTTCAGGTAGTTGTATTGACATTTGTGGTAATGGCAGGAGGTCTGTCATTTGTCTGCACTCTTGATCAGTTATGGGCTTGTGGGTTTTTGTTGCAACTTGCAGGGGTGTGGAACAGTTCCTCTTGCTCCCACTCGATGGGTTATTTTTTGTGATGTGGTGTTGTACCCAAGGTGTGTGCTCAGACCATACAGGCACTTCTGCTTCTCTATTGTGATGTTTTCTGGTCTCAGGCCTGAGTTCTGAGTGGCGTAGGGCATCTGGGTGCGCACATAGCAGTTGAACTCGTTCTCTTCGTGTGCGGTTCTGTTCATCAGCTACCACCACAGATTGGTGCTGTAGTCGTGTGGGTGTGTCATCTCTCTTTTTCTGTTTGGGAGGGCTTCTCTGTTTACACACAAGAGTACACAGCATGCTGCAACCATAGCACAGCAGAGGAACCACCTGAGGAGTGGAGGCCCCATTGCTGCTCAGTATACAGAAACACTGGATCTCAGAATCCTAATAGGACAGCGATCATTGGTTTCTTCACTGGTTTTGAGATGACTTCCCCTAAAAAGAACAGCCCCCTATGTACGCCAGGCTTCCCCACTGCCCCAATTACCTAGAGATCTAGCACTTTCTGTAACTTACAGTGGTTGAGATATAATCCAGCTGGGTCTTTCAGGGATCGTTACATTAGGCGTGGTCAGCAGTACTTGAAATGGTCCTTCCCAGTGGGGGACGGCCCAGTTCTTTCTTTTGATCACCTTTATGAAGACCCAATTTCCTAGCTGGATAGGGGTGGTTTCCTGTGGAGGAGAATCACAAGGCAGTAAATTTGTCTTTAACACTGTTTTTTTTCTTTCAGTGTTTTGATTATATAATCTGCTAATGTCTGTTCCTCTTCTGCTTTCTCTAGATCTGGAGAGAACAGAGGTAGACGATAAGGCCTGCCATGGATGATCTCAAAGGGAGTCAATCCATTTGATGTTAGAGTTATTATCATATAGAGTTTCACTAGGTCTAAGCATTCAGGCCAGGCTTGACCTGTAGTCTTCATGCATTTTCTAAGTCTGCTCTTATTCGTTCCATTTATTCTTTCTACAAACCCTGTACTTTGTGGGTGGTGGGCATAATGGTTTTTTAAAGTTAGTCCTAAGTGTGAGGCCATGTTCTATATGATCTGACTTACAAAATGTGGACAATTGTCACTGTAAATGGTTTGTGGGACACCATGTGTAGGAATAATGGATTTACATGTAGCTTTTGCTACAGTTAATGCATCTGCATGTTTGGATGGGGCAATTTAAACCCATTTTGAGAAAGCATCTACCATGACTAAACAATATTTGAAATGTCCACTTTGTGTTGAGTAAAAACTTTCAAATCATTCCTCTTTCTTATTTTGATTAATGGCATTTACCTCTGCATGCCTTCCCTGAAATTCTGACACAGAATCACAAGTCCAAGTGTGAACTCTGCCACAGAGTAAACACAATAAAAACATGTATTATCTGCAGCATATTGTTCATTAAAATGGCTCAACACTATTAATGTATTACCTAAAATATACATATGGTAGGCACACTTAAAGATATGTAGACCATTACATTAATACATTCAGCAAATACTTTTACTTTTAATACTTTAAGTATTTAAAAGCAAGTACTTATTTACTTTTACTTAAGTAAAAATGTTAATGTGGTATTTCTACTTTTACTAGAGTACATTTTTGTCTGTACTTTTACTTAAGTACAGTGTTTGAGTACTTTCTCCACCACTGCATTTGATACAGGGTCAGTTCCTTTTGTGTGAGCTACACATTTACAAACAGCAAGCTTAGAGGGGCATTGAATTGCTGAGCGAGGAGTGTGG